CGTTATGACACGTTAGGCTCGTGTTGTGTTCAAGGACCCTGACCTTGGCCAGATGCACCAGTAACATTAACCTATGATGTAGTCTTGCAAGTTTCTATAATTCATTAGCAAATAAACGCAAGCCTTCAAAACAGGGATCACATTAAATACTACCGATATAATTTTTTGGCTTGGTTAGCTAGCGCTAACTCTAGCTTAATGCTAAAAGCCCACAAACAAAACACATCTTATCTTAGCGGTGACTCGCCTGTCTTATAGCACAGCTCAACAGGAAAATAGTCTATCACACTTTTGTGGAGTTAAGAGTTAAACGTTCAGAGTTAATGTACTACAATTACACTAACAGATTTGATTTATAGATATTTCATTTTTAACACCAACTATTTCTCTAATGAGAGTTAAATATAAGGGATTTAACTCTATCAGGAGTATATTTAACTCTACTCTTGTTTAAATTTCACCAACACCAAAACATTAACACTTTATGTTAACTTTTCTGTCCAGATGGAGTGTCAGGTATTTATTGAGTCTAAATGTCCTTTTCTGACTACGCATCGTGTGGAACTCTATATTAAACAAAGAACCCTTGCATTACACTGTATTTGAATACAAGCTTTAGAACAAACAATATGCTGTATTCAAAAGTCTTTCATGCAGTGTATGGCTGGGGTAGGCTACAGCCATACCAAGAAATGGCTTAACCTTATAGTCTAGCAGGAAGGGCCCTCAGATTTTGAGATACCCCTACCCGAGGTAGAACAAATGACAACAATGATTTTTCTTATCTTTAGGGTTTCCCATTAATGAAATTGATTGTTGTCAAATTTTATTTTGGGGGAAACATTTTTTTTTTGGTTGTTCCCCAATCCCTGAAAAAGAGCCAAATTAGACTAGGCCGAATATGGGAAAGGTGACAAAAAAGCCCATAACTTGAGAATGGCCACTCTTTTCCTCTTCAGATTTGCTGAGGTATGAACCAGGTGGCTGTCCCACATAACCGAATACTCAGAAAATCATTTAACTGAAGAAATACTGAATTATAGTCCTGTAAACTTAGCTTTAGTTAGACGGAAATTGTACTTTTTGGTGATAGGAACATAGGACTCCATCACTTTTCTCTCAATTATCAGAAAAACAGAAATCCCTAAAAGATATACCATTACTGAATTGTCTAGGGTGCTATTGAACACTAACCAGTAGTTGTATGGAAATATCTGGTACAGTTCTATTGCAAATGAGATTTCTTTAGACATAGGCCTACCTCTTCTCTGATACAGTCAAATTCAGAATGGGGGAGAAGTGGCACAATAGCCTATAAGTTAAGAATGCTCACTCTGATGGTCATTATATTTGGAGAGGGAAATACCAGGTGGCGACATCACCAAATAGTCAGAATATGAGTAACCCAATACAATAAAGTGTATTAGTTCGCACATTTATTTGATCACCATGGAAACCTTTGATCTCTGGACACCTCGTTAGCTCAAATATAAACACCTGTGTCATGGAACACGATGATGTCATAACTCCAACTGACATGCTCAGAGCAGCAGACTTCAGATAAAGGTTAATGGTCCTGCCCTCAACAGCTCTACGTCAATTATGGGGTGTCATCATATGCCGTTGTATGTAAAAGTTAGTTCAAAAGTTTGCAGTTCAAATATTCTGCTGCTTTTCCAAGCTTTTTTTTACTTTCTTTTCTTCTCTTATCACACATTCAAGCCCCCAGTGTTCATGTATCATTTCAATCTACATTTTTCACTTTCTTCTTACACATTACATTTCAGCATAGCAGTTTAGCGTCAGCTTTTCAGCATAAAGCATTCCCACTAGCAATTTCTTCAGGAATTGCATTCTCTAGTTAGCTGACGTTGTCCGTGTCAACAGGAGCGACAGTCCGCACACACACAAGACCGCAATTATGGCAGAAGCAAAAAAGCCCAAAATATATCATTTTAACTCCGAGTGGGAGGATGATTATTTTTTTGTTCATTCCAATTCAAAGTCCATCTGTCTCATCTGCAATGCGAGCGTGGCTTTACCGAAGAAGGGTCATTTAGAGCATTTCAAAACGGTGCACAAACGCTAAGAGACGGAATTCTCTCCTAATTCTGCCCTACGCTCTTCTGTTCGTTGCGTGCATATGTATCAGAGTTAAACATGTGAATACATAATTATGCGTTTGTGAATGTTTAATTCATAATAAGTTGTGAATTTTAAGAGATGAGACTGTTTCATTTAATATTTTAAGTTTTGTTTCCCGTGGGGACCGGGGAACACTGTCCCGTTGCACGTCTTTTTTTTACTTCCGGTATGTATTTTCCACCCTCCGGGGTGTCACACCAAGCTGTGGTGATTCTCAGATGTAAAGCAGTGGTTGTACAGAGAAAAGATTTCAGGGTGACAGGCTGTCACTGTCACTACCCGATCTGCAGCTCTGCCCGATCTGCAGTGCGCATGTGCAAGATGGTCCGCCATATTGGACAACTCCGGACGGCAACCCAAGTAGGACAACATTGACACAGTGGCTTTTGGCAAAGCTCAAAAGGAAAACTCGAGAGAGATGAGTTATTGTTATTACAACGTGACTTCACTATTATTTAACAACTCTTTTTATTGGGTTCTTTTATTTGGGGTTAAGTACATTGTCAGAATAAGTGAGAAATGAATGTAACTTCTGTTAGACAGCTATCATACTGAATACATATTTACTGTGAATGTATGCAAAAATGTATGGCATATGGCTGTCTGACAGAAGTTAAATCCATTTCTCACTTATTCTGACAATGTACTTAACCCCAAATAAAATAACCCAATAAAAAGAGTTGTTAAATAATAGTGAAGTTACGTTGTAATAACAATAACTCAACTCTCTCGAGTTTTATTTTTGAGGTAAAAAGGTAAACCTTCTCCTGTACAGTAGCCTACAAGGGCTTGTCTAATAGAAATAGAATCTCACAGAAATGTATTAAAATCACATACAGAACAATTAGTTACAAAATATTAGAATTCTGAAAGATTTCTTGAAAAACAGGTAAAATTATTTTCTTACAAATAACTCCTGTTGCTTTCCAGTATACAGAGCCCAGGTGAGACAAAGATAAACAATGACAGCGTTCTGTGTGTTGTCTGATGGCTTACCTCACTTGTGTCTCTCTACTTGCTAACTAATTTGTCTAAAATGAACTGCCATTATCAATGAATTCAACGGGCTCTGCCACTTATTCACAGGGGCGTTTTTTTATATGTACAAAAGTGGTGGGGCACAAAAAACTTAGATGTCTATATATAAGCTTCTGCAGTGAGGTTCATGGCTGGTGAGGCACTGGCACTGACTCTTCAGGTTTACAAATATTATATTTTGACCTAAATCAAAATATAATATTATTTTCAAAAGCTTTTTTTGTCTGATGCAATTAATTTTAAACAGACAGTTCAACAAAAGGATACCCAACAAATGTAATTTTATCATTTAAATATTGAATTGTTCTCTCTTAGTAAGATCCCATTTTCAATACAATTGCGGTCTTGACTTAAAGATGAAGTCCATTTGCCTATCCTTCTGGACAAAAATCTCTATTACTTTTTTGTAAAAGTCCTCCTTATCTTCTTGTAGTTTCAAAAGTCTATCATAAATCTAATCGATAGATTTATGATTCCAAAATGATAAAAGTAGGGTAGACATGTGGATATTATCGGGCTGAACAAAACGTGCATTTATCTAACAGGTACGTTTCCCACAGATCTTATTTTGAGCTATGTTCTAAAATCCTATGGAGAAATCTCATTGCTTTTTTGTGGAGGGAAGCCATGCGCAGCTTACTTCCGGGTTTTAGGACGCGTCTCTCGTCTCCTCTTCACAAACCACACTTTTCGCGGCACACGTACTTACAGCCAATCAGCTCTGAATTATGTGAGATGACGTATGGTGGGGAATGGCAGCTCAGTGACCCTATGGTCATTATTTTTTTGCCACAAACATTAAATAGGACAATACTCTGAGCATGCGCAGTGTAGTTTTTACAGTCACCGTTTACTTAGACAGTGAGAGGGAGGGGCAGGATCAGGTTTTGTCCCACATGGCTCTAAACAGCCCAATAGGCACACACTGTAGACACTAATTAGAAGAACACAGACTAAAACAGCAATGTACAGACGAATCAGATGATTAAACATGATCTTAAAATATATTTTACATATATATATTTTTTTTTTGTTGCATTTTTTTGTAATAATTATTTGTAATACTTTCTGCTGACACTAGGTGGGGCACCTGCCCCTAATGACCAGTCGCCACTGCTTATTCATCATGTTCAGCTTGGCTTATCAGACCTCTTTAGATAGTTGATCATCTTGGCAGTGATATACATCTAGTATGTTCAAAGGCTTATCTGCCACATGCTTTAAAGCTGAAGTACTTCCAAATGAGGGTATACAAAGAACTTTGAAAACAGAAAGATTTCTTTATCAAAAAAGTTCGTAGGTGCTATATATTTTTGAGAGTTTGGTAAATATGTACTTGTAATAAGACTCCCAGTGGCATCTCTTAGATACATTGGCATCAAGCAAGGTAGTGCCCTTATTTTAGCGTCCTTTTATTGCAAAAATGTGATTATAATTTTACTGACATGACTCTCACACTCAGAGGTTTCTGAAGTATTTTAGACTGGACATACTGATTTTATATAAATATATGAAATGGTTAAAAACACTGCATGTCTATTTTCCTGAGTAAGATTTTTTTTGAACGTTTTGTAAATTAATCCAAAATGTATTCGTTTTTTCTTACTTAATGCAATGTTTTTTTTAATGTGAAGTGGTTTCTTATACATGCGGTGCTGAACATGATGATTTGTGTTTTGCATTACAGTATTTGTGGACTTTTGTTTAATTGTTGTTTTAGATAAACCACACCTGCCATCATAGAGCTCATTTGCCTTTTGGTGTGCACTATGTATAAATGAATGTGCTGTGCTGTTTCTCTCTTGTTTGCTGCACAGCCATCTTGTACCAAGTAGACCACCTTCACCCAAGAAAATCCCCCCTTGGCCCTCTGACCTTTGCAAAGGATGCAGGTGAGAGCAACCACCTTCCATGCTTCTCCTTGAATGGACCTTTCTGTTAATGCCTTCATCAGATCTAGTTATCACGAGGCGTCACACACCTGACTGTGTGTGTGTGTGTGTGTGTGTGTGTGTGTGTGTGTGTGTGTGTGTGTGTGACAGGGCGCTCATTGAAAAAGTAAGAGAACGCTACTCAAAAACTTGGAAGAAGCAAGAAGATCTTTACAGAAACCTCAGGTAATTGTATTTGATTACATTTTGTTTAAAAGGTTTTGGCCAGAATTGCATTAATAGTCCATGCAGGCAAAGATTTGCTGTTTCTCAGGGGAAGACATACAGTCAGCCAACTTGTGGAACCACGCAAAGTTATGTGATGAGACCCTCTGTATCGCGAGCGTCGCCGACGGGCTGCCGGGGTGCTAGTGGAGCGCCGACTAAACTGTGGCGCGCTTAATTGCGCCGGATTTGCGAATAAGATGAGGCCCCCTCCACGAGGTGAGGCCCCCTCCGCGAGGTGAGGCCCCCTCCGCGAGGTGAGGCCCCCTCCGCGAGGTGAGGCCCCCTCCGCGAGGTGAGGCCCCCTCCGCAAGGTGAGGCCCCCTAGCAGACACCTGATCTGCGTGTAGGGAAGGGCGGGCCTGCAGTCAGCAATTGTATAAACGCTAAACATTGTCACAGTTTGGGACTATTCAGTGAGTAGGTCTTAAAAGTAGTTAAAAGAAGCGATTTCATTCAACAAATTGCAACTGAATCCATTGGCTTTCTTATGTAATTGAAAAAGTGGCCAAAAATCGTAACAAATGTAGCACGAGTTAGAGAGTTTGGTAAAACAGAGGGACTTCACCAGAAGATAACTTTAACTCACCTTGATGATTATGGAATACAAATTCTTATAAGAAAGAAAATACGTTTTATATACTGTACAAACTGTGTTAGCTATCTGTTCAACAAAGTCCTTCTGTTACCCCAGCTCTCAACTGAGAAGTCAGTGCCAGGGATTTGACAGGGCCATCATTACCCAGGCCAACACTCCAGTGGGATCAACTATTGTGTACGCTAGGGAAAAGAACAAGAAGACCCTCAAGGTGACTCCAGAGATTTTCAGCACCTTCATAAAGGTATGTCGTTTTTCATTCATTGTATCACAGCATATTGTGCTTGTTGTCTTTATTGTTCCTTAAAGGGCTCAGAGATGATAAAGTATGTGTTTAGTTACATGGTGACTGATTGATACAAACGACCACTGATGACCACCCTTTCAAAAAACCACACACACACACACACACACACACACACACACACACACACACACACACACACACACACACACACACACACACACACACACACACACACACGTACGCACACACTCACGCACACACACAGAATTAGGATTTTCTATAAAAAAACTGAGATTTGAAGTGAGGACCCCTTAATCTGACGAATGCTCAACAAAACTCTATAATCTTATTTCAATATACAGCATGACCTGCTTTTAATGATATAATTGCAAATTTGTAAATGTGAAATCATTCTAGTTATTAGTAAATTGGTACTTTTGATTTTCATTCATTCTCAAATTTGTAACTGGCTTCACACCAGAAAAAAGGCATCCAGTACCCTTTCTAGGACAACACCAGTCTACAAAGTTTGCATTCATTTTGATATCAACTGTCTGATCCATGGAGACAACAACTTTGTCAGGACTAACCGGAATAGTTCAGAAAAAAACAGTCACAGATTAAGAGTAAGTTTCAGGTTCCAGGATACAGCCGACTGCTCCTGATACTGGGATGGTTTGAATACGCTACATTTCCCTGTGTGAGATCAGCTGCGATGCCAAATCCGGCCAAGGGGCATAAAGTTGGGGGCCCAATGGCCCCTTGCACACTTCCAACCCCCCTACTACCTGCGCCCTAGCTCAAACCGCAGCTTCAAACTCTCTGATTTTGATCTCAGATACACTATAGTCAGTCATTTTTTAGAATTGTGCGCTGTTTCAGTACATTTAAAATCGTAAAATAAAGTCCGGTGCCTTGCTCAAGGGCACCACGGCAGGGCAGGAGGTGAACTGGGACCTCTCCAAGTAGAAGTCCACACTCCATATTTAGGTCTGGTCGGGGACTTGAACCGGCAACCCTACAGCTCCCAGTTCAATCCCCTACTGACTGAGCCACTGCCGGACTATATATCATATGCATGTTACGGTATGTCCACACAGCAGCTTTTCAAAAATCTTGAAAATCTTGGAGCTGGGCGTGTCTGAAAGCTTGGGGATTTCGCGACCAACAACCAATCACATGAATCTCCCGCCCCCGACATACAAAGCAAAAAAACCCGGTTCTTCTCCACTATTTCTTTAAACATTTATGAGATTAATGTCTATGGTGCTATTTTATGCTACATTCCATGCTGGCTAATGATACTGTCTATGCTTGCTAGCAACGAAGTAAACTAGCAACGAAGTAAACTGGATATAAAATCCCCAAACAAGCAAAAACCTACCAGTTTCACCCACAGCCTCTGCCACCTCCCTCCATGCCTGGTTCCTCCGGTTTGTATCCCGGTAAGTAAATAGGGACTGGTCATAAAGAACCGGGTGATTTGCTACCGCAATAACTAAGTTCTCCTCCATTTTTGTGGAATATAGAAATGAACTGCGGTCTGGTTCTCCCAGCTTGCACGCGGTTTGATTGGCTAGCGCTTGAACTGTCAGATTTGCATAAACGGATCTGATTGGCTATCGCTTCCAGCTCAGCCTCAAAAGTTCAACATTGTTCAACTTTGGAATCCTGAACATCCTGGAAATCCTGGAAATCTTCGCCTCGCCCCCCCACAATGCAGTTCGGCGACAAACCAATTAAATGTTTTCATTGGTTTTATTTCCAGGAGAATCCATTTCCAAAGAAAAAATGGGAAACGTGTGCTATTGTCGGGAACTCAGGGATTCTGGCAAACAGCAGCTGTGGAGAGATGATCGATTCGGCTGAGTTAGTTATCAGGTGAGAAATCTGTCAAGGTCAGAGGACTGAAAGGCTGATGGCGACATAAATCCACAGAATAATTCTAAATAATAATTTCTGACTCGTCTGGTATGCCTTTTCAGGTGCAACCTACCTTCTTTGGGAAAAGGCTATGAGAGACATGTGGGCACCAAGACTGACATCGTGACAGCCAACCCAAGCATTTTGTTGAAGGAGTGAGTAAATAAATGCGTCTCACTGCACCAATAGAGTGTTCCCTTGGTGTTGTTGCTTGACATCTTTTTATTTTCAGGTATGGAGATCTAATGGGGCCACGCCGTCCATTTGTGGAGAGTCTACATAGCTACGGAAAATCCATGATGGTTCTTTCCCCCTTCTCCTATGCAGGCAATACTCCGGTGTGCCTGAGGGCAGTATACAGCATTAGGGACTTTGAAAGTCCCATTCAGCCCATGTTCTTCAACCCTGATTACCTCCGGAGTCTGAAAGACTTCTGGAGCTCCAGAGGCCTAACCAGAGGCCTACTCAGCAGCGGCTTACTGATGGTTAGCATAGCGCTGGAACACTGTGCCAACGTGCATCTGTACGGTTTCTGGCCCTTCAGTAATCATCCATTGGAACTCAATGCCGTGAAAAACCACTATTACGATGATAAAAAAGGTATATGGACTGTCCACTACATGCCGGATGAGTTTGACCTGTTGTTGCGGCTGCACAGTCAAGGTGTGCTCAGGCTTCACCTAGGGAACTGTCAACCGGGTAGAAATTAGTTCCCAGGTCCAGAGACAGATGAGACTGGGCATCTGAAGAATCGGGACATTTCCTGGTGGACTGAGGGTTGATCTCAGAATTTGTTTCTAAACTATGCCTTTTCAATACAATCCACTCACTCTCCCCCCATATCAGTTCCTAGACCCTCTGAGCAGAGGGATAAACCAGAAGGTGCAATACAATATATTGTCACTTACACCAATTAATACATTTGATAAATAATTAGGATCTCAACTTTGATAAAAAATCATTAGTATTGTCATTTTGGCCATAATAATAGTCATAATCATCTTTTACTTTTCCAGCAAAATTGCAAGGAAACGGTTATTCAAAATATAACTTTCAGTCATGGAAAGGTTTCGATATTTGAAAAGATGTGACATATTGTGAGATGTAAAGGAATTTCAGTTAGATATATATATATATAACTCCCTTGTTTTTATTCCAAAGGCCACTCACACTCATTTGCATTTCAGTCGCCAAATCCATATAATGCGTTGTCAAATGTAATAATAATAATAATAATACATGGGACTTATATAGCGCTTTTCTGGAAACCCAAAGACGCTTTGACAGAGAATTTAAAAAAGACAACAACAAAAAAACAAACAAACAAAGAAATACAAAAAGAGATAAACAAAACAGAAAATAGGGGGGGGGGGGGGGGGGTCAGTGGTTGAATGCAGTGTTGAACAGGTGGGTTTTGAGTGATGTTTTGAATGCTGTGAGGGAGGAAGAATCTCTGATGGATTGGAGTAGAGTTCCAGAGGGTGGGTGCAGCAACGGAGAAGGCTCTGCCGCCCCAGGACTTGAAATGTACACTTCCTTCTCCTCAATTTGATCTCCCTGTCTGTCTGTGTGTGTGTGTGTTCCTAAACGTTTTCTCCTCAACAGATAACCTGTGACAACCCTGTGGTTGTCCACCAGTTGGTGCTGCTGTAACCTGTCCACCAGTTGGTGCTGCTGTAACCTGTGTTTCTTGTAATCAGCAGTGATGGGACCCACCTGTGGCACTTGATTCCAGTAGATAAGAGGGCTGCAGAACAGGCTCTCGGTCTCTCTCAGCTGCCCTGCTCGGTGCAGCAGGACAGCGCTCCTCTGTTCTGTTTGATTGTTGTTTGTAACCACTGTGTTGCATAAAATAAGTGATTGTTTTGGGCAACTCCGGTGTGGAACTGTTGTCCTTATGTTACAAGCAGAGCCAGCTTGTAACATAGTGCTGTCAAAATTATCGCGTTAACGCCGGTAATTAATTTTTTGAATTAATTGCGTTAAAATATTTAACGCATTTAACGCATGTTGTAACAGTTTACTTATTTGGGGTGCCAGTCAGGTCTCAGATTTTTCACGTTTCAGATTTGGCTTAGTCAGTCAGTTTTTGTAAATCTGCACAAAGGTGTATACATCTCTCTAAACACCCCACATTGAATGACATTAAAATATAAGAAAAGACACAACTCAAAATCATAATCACAAGTAGTAAGTGTATTTTTGAATACAAACAAATTTGTCTTCCCACAGTTCAAAATGTAAATCCAAAACGTTCCACTCTGGGTGTCCTTCAAAATAAATAAAACAGTCAATTACCACAGGAGAATGTCAGTCGGTTTGAGCAATCCAGTCCTGGTTTTTAAGGTTTTGTGAGATGAGCGGCTCCTTTCAGCTTTGTATGCAATAATCCAGGAACGTGAAGCAAGGGTATGATGCCGGATGACGGTGGACCAGACAAACGGTACGGACTGTAAACGACCTAACTGCTGGTTGCTAACAGATGAGCGTGTTGCTCCGCCGATCCCTCTTGCTGCACACACACCTTTTCCTTCCGGCTCCGTCTAACTAAATAGGGGGAAAAGGAAATGAGGCGCCAACCAACAGCGAATCACTGGCTGGGTGGGCGTTACCGTGAGTGACTACCGGTCACATAAACACCGGTTGTTACAATGTGCAGAATGGCCCGCCCCATACGTGCCACCAGTGGCAGTGCCAGGGTATGGCTGGGGTAGGCTACACCCATACCAAGAAATGGCTTAGCCCCACCATGAAAAATGATGTTAAAGTAAGCAAAATAAAGTCCGCCAATTCGCGCGGAGTAAATTGCACAGACAGCAGTTAGTAAGATTGATTTCAGTAGCTACGGTTTTGAAAACTTTTGTCACGTAGTGATCGTCCACTCAATAGAACATCTTTGATAATGTCTTCTGGCCAATCAGAATCAAGATAACGGCGTGGTGTTGTTGCAGGAAGTCCCGACGGAGAATAGAGATGGCAAATCCGGATCATTTTATGGACTCGGAGTCTTCTGAGTCAATCATTGAAGAGATCCGGATCATACGAGTCATTTGAGTCATTTGAGTCATATGAGTCAGCATGACCAAGACCGTAGAAATCCTACCGGTGAAACCGAAAAGTTGTTGCATTTAACCAGCATATTAAACTAACGTTACATTAACCTCCGCTACACAGTGTCTTTTGCTTTAATAAAACATGTGTGTGTGTGTGCATTTAAAAAACAAGTGTTTTGCATTATATGTATATAGTTATTTTAATATGTTCCTGTACTTAAGCTAATTTTGCACAATTGTGTTTTCATTTAATAATAATAATAATAATAATAATAATAATAATTGTATAATTACATTTTATATATTCTAACTGTTTTGCAATTTTCTATCATTTGTTTCTTTTTGTGTGCCATGTTCAAAATAAACGAGTTTCCAAGTAAGATCCTTATTGGAAATGCAGATATTATTACAGGAGACTGTTGCACAACATGACCATTTTGTTAGAAGTCTACACTGAAACTTAATTTAGAGCCGGAAAAATCGCGGGATCCGTGAATCCAGGTCAATGATCGAGAGAGACCAGTAGCCTACGAGGACTCAGAGCCGTAACATATAGCAGGCAGCAGATCCAGAGATCCAGCAGACTCGTCCCCATGCACGAATCTACAGCAGACTCAGCCCCTCCTCCGGCTCGCACGGCTCTCGCGAGTCCCACGGCTCCCGCGACGAGTCGCAGCAGACTCAGAGATTTGCGGACTCACGGCTCACTCACGGCTCACGGCTCACGGCTCACTCACGGCTCACAGGACTCTTGCGGGAGCCGGAGGAGGGGCTGAGTCTGCTGTAGATTCGTGCATGGCGACCACCATAGACTGTATATAAAGATGGCGACGAGTCCGCTCTGGATCTGCTGCTATAAGTTACGGCTCTGAGTCCGCACGAGACACAAATATGTCATGATGGGGTCAAATAACTATGAAAAATAAGAAATTAATTAAAATGAACTGTTCATTTTATTAATTAATTAAAATGAACTGTTCATTTTAATTAATTTCTTATTTTTAGAAATTAACTTTGAAAAATAAGAAATTAATTAAAATGAACATATATACTATGTTCATTTTAATTAATTTCTTATTTTTCAAAGTTATTTTATCATGGGTGGAGATACTTGGTGAAGTTGTTGCAGTGGTGATTTGTTGACCCCTTGACCCAATAAGGTACACTCTTCAAGACCTTTCTGATTGGAAGGTTAGGGGTAGTCCCCCTCCCCCTACTTGTCACCAACCATCCCCCACTATCAAGATTCTCCCAAAACACCTCAGACAGAAGTGACAAGAGAAGAGAGAGTGACATTGACTGAGGATTATTTGCTAAAGATAAGAGGATTTTTTTGTTGGAGATGAGTACTCGGAAAAGAAGTGATATATGGATGCATTTTGTTGGAGTAAATCAGGCACAAGCAAGATGTCAGTATTGCAAAAACCTGATATCTGTTCATGGAGGGAGCACATCAAATATGAGGAGGCACTTAAAAACTAAGCACCCCACTGCACTTTTAGCAGACACTCAGCAGACAACAACAGGGACAGCAGAAGCAGCAGCGACAACATCTGCAACGGCATCAACCAGCACAGATTCAGGTGTGGCAAGTACATCAACTCAACTTGCAACAGCCACCACCACAGCACCACAAGCAGCCAGAAAAAGGCCAAAACAAACCACTATGGGAGGCTTTATAAACAGGCCCATTCAACCACTGCAGCAGAGTAAAGTGGACCAGGCTTTGGTTAAAATGATAGCCACTGATTTTCAACCGTTCACAATTGTTGAAGACAGGGGGTTCAGAGCATACACAGCGGCACTGGACCCATCATATGTGCTGCCAAGCAGAGGCACTATATCAAAGCGGATGCTGCCCAACCTTTTCGAAAAGGTCAGAGCTGAACTCCAAGAGCAGATTAGGACTGCTCCTGCTGTATGTTTGACAACAGACTGCTGGACCTCCAACACAACAACAAGCTACATGTCACTGACATGCCACTACATCACTGACTTTAAACTCAGATCCAATTTACTGGACTGTTTTGTTGTCGCAGAGTCGCACACATCCCAAAATCTGGCGCAAGAGTTGAGCCGGGTTGCAAAAGAGTGGGGCATTCAAGATAAAATTGCAGCCTGTGTCACTGACAATGCAAGCAACATTGTCAAGGCCGTGAATGACATTTTGAAGTGGAACCATGTGAGATGCTTTGCTCACTTGCTGAATCTGACGGTCAGATCTTCAGTTCACCAAACTGAAATCCAGGCCTTAATTCTGAAGGTCAAATCTATCGCAGAGTATGTGCGCAGAAGCACAGTGGCCTCTGCAAAGCTTCGGGAAATGCAACTACAAATGGGGCAGGTCCAGTTGCGAATGAAGCAGGATGTAGCCACACGGTGGAATTCAACCTACTTCATGATGCAGCGTGCCATCGAAATCAAGGAACCTCTTGTCTCCACAATGGCACTGCTCAATCCACTGCTACCAGCCTTAACTCCCGAGGAATGGGATATCACAAAGGAGGTGTGTGATATTCTTAAGCCCTTTGAAGAGGTGACTGTGGAGATGAGCTCAGAGAGGTATGTAAAAATAACGCAATTTTATGAATTACATTTTTCATACATTATATGCTGTGTTGATGGTCATTAGTATAAGGCCTGATGGTCATTAGTAAAGAAGGCTGCAACTGCAAGAAACACAATTTCAATGACTATTTATTTTTTCACAGGTTTGTGACAGGCTCAAAAGCCATTCTGATGGCACGGGGGCTCCAGAGAATTGTTGCCCACAGGCAGAGAAACCCCTCCACCCACGAACCTGTCAAAGGGATGGTTAATTTCCTTGCAGGCAGATTTGGAGAAAAGATTTGGGCAAATTGAAAGGGTCAGAAGTGCTTGCTGAAGCTACACTTTTGGACCCTCGCTTCAAAAAGCATGCCTTTGTGATTGAAAGGAACGCAGAGGAAACTGTGTCAAGAGTGGTGGGAGCAGCAACACATGCGGCAACACCAACATTACCCAGCACAGAGGAGGAGGAGGAGGAGGAGGAGGAGGAGGAGGAGGAGGAGGAGGAGGAGGAGGGTGGCACAACTGTGAATCCTCCAAGTGAGCCAGTGCCTCAATTCTGGGCTGACTTTGAGGAGCGAGTGACCACTCTGAGGCCAGGGGTCCAGAACCCGACCACTGGGGCCATGCTGGAGATCAAGGGATTCTTGGCAGAGCCACTTATCCCCCGAAAGGCTGACCCCCTGGAATGGTGGAGAGTTCGAGCCCTGGTGTACCAAAATATATGCACAGTCATGAAGACCAGGCTCTGCATTGTGGCCACATCTGTCCCCTCAGAGCGTGTTTTCTCGAAAACTGGGCAGATCATTACAGACAGGAGGAACAGGCTCAGCCCTTCAAAAGTGCGTGAGCTTGTCTTTCTTAATGCCAACTTGTGAGTGACACACTTAAATAATGCACTTGCACAATGCACATTATGTATATAGTTATTTGATTATGTTCCTGTACTAAGCACATTTTGCACAATTGTGTTAATTTAAAAAAAATAAAAATAAATCTTAGCCTATATGCCAACTGATTTGCACATTGTTCTCTCATTTGTTGTTGGCAAAAGATATGCTTGATTTTTTTGTGTGTGCATTTAAAAAAATAAGTGTTTTGCATTGTATGTATATAGTTATTTTAATATGTTCCTGTACTTAAGATAATTTTGCACAATTGTGTTTTCATTTAATAATAATAATTGTATAATTACATTTTATATATTCTAACTGTTTTGAAATGTTCTATAATTTGTTTATTTTTGTGTGCCATGTTCAAAATAAACGAGTTTCCAAGTAAGATCCGATTCCTTATTGGAAATGCAGATATTATTACAGGAGAGTCTCCTGTAATAATAGCTGCATTTCCTGAGGAGACTGTTGCACAACATGACCATTTTGTTAGAAGTCTACACTGAAACTTAATTTAGAGCCGGAAAAAT